AGGAACCCTGAGGCAGGAGGATGCACAGACCATGGAGAAACGACTGCGTGCCTTATTCTGCTTGTTTTCTTACACATCTTAGGACCACCTGCCCATGGACAACACTGTCCCTCCATATAAGTGGGCCCACACACACCAGTCAATAATCAAGAAACTACCTGATAGGCTAATACCTATAGGTCAGTCTTATGGGAGCCTTTTCTCGATTGACAGTCTGCTTCCAAGATAGCTCAAGTTTGTATCAAGTTGACAACAAACAAGACAGGTGATCTCAATGGACTAAAATCAGAGTGACAGCCAGGCTCCATGGCTTCACAGAGCATCCCTGACAGCATTTCTTTGGCTTCTCCAGCTTCCACAGCTGCCCTCATTTCTGCATGGCCTTCTGTCTTCTTTGTGGACCATGGCTACTGTGGCCTTTCACAGTAGATATTCATGTTTCTTCTCCCTCTGCTCTTTTAAGGATCCTTGTGTTTCTATTACACCCTTCCATTGGATAATCCAAAGTAATATCTCTGACTTAAAGTAAACTAATCACCCACCGAGTTCCCATCTCCTGTCTTATTCCTTTTTGCCATGCAACCACTCTCCTGATTAAGTAGAACATCTTGGGCAAGTCACTATCTGTCCTCCTCAGGAGGACTTTGCTATCAGTTTCAAGAGTAGTCACAAACTAATTCAATAACAGGTGGGGAGGCCTTTTGGAGAAGCTGAACTCAGGGATCTATCCAAACCATCACCACCATGAAAATGACCTTGCCTCTGCATTTTTCTCCACATTGCTATTTAGTTTTCTGGAGATTATCTAAAATCACAGAAATGCATGTGGCACGAGTAAGGCCATCTCACACATCATGTTTTAGGCATCTTCTAGAAATCTCAAGATGGTCCTCTGCCCCCGTCTCTCCCCTATGCCTAGCCTAAGATGACTTAGGATTCTCCTTTCATCCCATTAGATCTCTGTGCTTCAAAAACCTCTGACTCTGACTCTGTCCTCAAACCTACCTGAAAATGCCCGTCTTCTATCCTCTGCCTCCCAAGATCAACAAAGGGGATGTTTTCTGGCATGTAACTGCTGACCTCTGTGCATCCCCATCAGTGTGTGTCCCCAAAAGAGCAGGTTGTGCCTAGCTGAAAGAATAAAATAATGAACTCAGTAATCGCTAAGTCCTTACTTCCTATAACACAGTAGAGTTTTCTTTGCCTCTTAAACACCATGCCACCCCCTGGATGTGGGTGTCACTGAGGAGGCCTAGGTAGTCTATGGGGCCTTGGGTAGTATTTACCCCTGGCGTACAAATAGACTTTGAGTGCCCATCCCACAATGAGGGATGCTCCCTCAGCCTGGACTCTTGTGGGAGGGCCTAGGCTGTGCCCTGAATAAAAATGACAGACACTGGAGATCCCTGGGAATTGGAGTGGAGGTTGGGTGGGGGACTGGGGGGTATGGTGGCGAAGGTAGGGGAGGAGGGTAGAGAGAGGGAGCTGGGATTGACATGTGAAACAAGCTTGTTTCTAACTTGAATTTTAAAAAAAGGAAGAGAAAAAAAACCTAAACACCATGCCACAGAAAAGACAAAAGAGATAAAGGAGGAGGGAAGAGAAACAGAAGGAAGAGATTGAAAATGGAGGGGATGGAATGAGAACGAGTAACGCTTTCCCATTCCACAGCTAATCCTCAAAAGCTTGTCTTTTCCGAAGTTCATCAGTATTCCAAATCTCCTCCTCCTCCTCTTCCTCCTCGTCCTCCTCCTCCCCCTGCCTCCTACCACAGTCAGGCCTGTGCTGGAGTTACACTAATCCTTTAGACAACAGTAATAAAACCAAACATCTGTGTTCCCTCACTTCTTCAAAACATTTGATGGAACTGGAGAGCTGGCTTGGTTGGGAGCATCCTTGCCGTGCAAGCAAGGGGACCAAGGTTTGAATTCAGCATTCACATAAAAAGTCAAGTATGGTTGTAAGAAGGCTGAGAACAATAGAAGATGACATGCACCTTCCTCTGGCTTCCACGTGATTGCATATTTGTATACCTACACTACGCCACACACACAATAAAAAGAGACACTTTTGATACATCAAGTATCCCAACTCTACATTGACATCCAGAGACATTCCTGATTTCCACTGATTACTTCTCAGGAAATGAAACTACATCTGCTTTGCCAAGACCTTAATCCCAAATTCAGAGGAGCATTATCATTTTTAGGAGTTATTATTATTTTATGTGTATGTATGCTTGCCTGAATGTATATATGAGTATTACATACATGCAGTGCCTGCAGAGGAGAGAAGAGGGCACAGGATCCCCTGGAACTGGAGTTATGACAGTTTTGAGCTGCCATCTGGATGCTTGGAACAGAACTTCAGTCTTCTGTAAGAGCAGCCAGTGCTGTAAGTGCTGACCCAGGTCTCCAGCCCCAGAGCATTATCATTTTTTTGTTTTGTTTTTCGAGACAGGGTTTCTCTGTATTGCTTTGGAGACTGTCCTGGAACTCGCTCTGTAGACCAGGCTAGCTTCGAACTCAGAGATCCACTTGCCTCTGCCTCCCGAGTGCTGGGATTAAAGGCGAGCGCCACCAATGCCCGGCCAAGAGTTATCATTTTCAAAATTACTGAAATTTAGTCAACATTAGCAAGTAGAATAAGTTCACCACTTTAGTGGTTCTCAACCTGTGGATCATAACTCTTTTTGGAGGTTTAACAACCTTTTCATTGGGGTCGCCTAAGACCATCGGGAAACACATATTTACATTATGATTCATATCAGTATCAAAATTATAGTTATGAAGTAGCAATGAAAATAATGTTATGGTTGGGGGTCACCACAACATAAGGAACTGTATTAAAGGGTCACATTGTTAGGAAGTTTGAGAACCACTGACCTAGACTCCACTCATGAATTCTATTTTCTCCTAAATATTAATACCTAATTGTATAAATTACTATCTTTTAGCCTGAAGATAGTCCTGACTATCCCAGGACTCGGGAGGCAGAGGCAGGCGGATCTCTGTGAGTTTGAGGCTGGGCTGGACCGACAGCCTCGAAAACAATACAGAGAAACCCTGTCTCGTAAAAACCAAAAAAAAAATTACTATCTTTTATTTTCTATTAAAAGTCATCACCTTACTGAGCTCCATTGAGCCTTGTTGAAGTTCAGTTAACCCCAGCCCCATCCCAGACCCCTCCCCCACTCCATCTTCAGGAGGTCTGTTCTGTTTCTATGTCATATTGTACATTCCACTGATTTCCTTTTAAAACAGATAGCCATTTCTTGTGCCATGTCTTTACATCTTTAAGGATCCTATGTACTCCGTCTTCTGCATTGTACATGAATTTTCAAAAGAATTATTTAAACAGAAGACAAGGAAAAAATTCTATGGTGGAATGGAGGCTTGTGAGCAGATCTTCCTCTGCTCATCTCTGTCTCACACAGCCACACTTTCATTCCATCACTGATGCATGCCCCCTATCTACCAACAGCCATTCATCCTCTCTGGTCTTCCAGTTATCATATATGTGATTTTGTCACAGGTTGCAACTTACAACCAGAATAACATAGCAGCAACACTAAATTATATATATATACATATATATATAATTATATATATATATATATATATAATATTAGGGGAGTTCCTAAAGACATGAATTCCTTTCTAGTTTATAGTAACTAGGGAAGACTCCTGAAAGGGGGTAGACTTGAGCGGAGCTTGAAGACTGCTATGTGTCAACAGGTCTAGAGAAGGGCTCCTCAGGAAAAGAGAAATGACGTAGAAAAGATGGGTACATTGCTTTGAAACTTAAATCTAACAAGTTTTTCAGGAGGCAAGGAGACAGGCTCCGTTCCCTTGGTCACTCAGAAAAGCTCTACGTTCCAAAGGGCAACAAAACTCAAAGCGGAGAAAATAAGGGTGGCCTCTTCTCTTCTCCCCTTCACCATATTACCTGACTCAAATGCAAGAAATCATCCTAATCTTTTTCAGGCCTTTATACAGGGGAAAAAATTCATTTCTGCCTAGGACTTGTGGAACCTCAACTTAGAAGCCTAAGCCTAGGGGAAGCCATCTTCCTTGGGTCTCACTTTCCATGCCTACCTCCAAACTAAGACCAGTGTCTGCCCCACTGTTTACAGCCAAGCCTTGAGCTAGTCTAGACAAAATAAATGAAGGGGTTTTCTGGGCTGGCAAAACCAGCAGAGACAGCTGATCTGAACAGGGGAGAGTTCTTGGACCTCAGACTGACAGCGGGGAGGCCAGCATGGGACTGATCTGGACCCCCCCCCAATGTGAGTGTCAGTGAGAAGGCCTGGGCAACCTATGAGGCCTTGAGCAGTGGATCAGTGTCTATCCCTGGAATACAAACAGTCATTGTGTGCCCATAGCACAAAGAGGAATGCTCTCTCAGCCTGGACTCTTAGGGGAATGCCTGGACCCTACCCGGAGTGAAATGACAGACTCTAGATATCCCCTATGTGGAAGGAATTGGCAACAGGGTGGGAGGCTGGGGGGGAAGGGGAGTGCGGGAGGACGGGAGGCAGAGGGAACAGGGATTGACATGTAAAACAAGCTATTTAAAATTAAAATAAAAAAATAAAAAAATAAACATCCAGTGGGAATTTTGAAATAAACTGTACAAGTCCTTAACACAGTCAGACCCCCAGGCCTTAGGCATAGAGTCTTCCTACTAGCAAAGATGAGATGAGCAAGGTAGACCCTATCTCTCACCACATCCTGAACCAGTAGGAGGAGACAAGGAACCTCAGTCCTGGTTTAACAGACAGATAACATTTTATGGACATTCTTTTCCTGCTGCCTCTAATGAAAGAGTTCTGAATGGAGCACCTCCCCGCTGAGGTCTGGTGAGAACCCAGAGGCCAAAAAGCAGGCTGATTAACAGGCATCACAAGCAGTGACTCAAACCATTCGTGATCTCATATGAAGCTTGTTATGGTGACTCCACAATTAGGACTTCAGCCCACGTGGCCCACCAGTCCTTCAGGAGGCCACACCGAGCACTGTATAAAAGTCCCCACCTTCCTAGACACCACAATTCACATCCTTCATTGAATCCTGTTGATGGTCAGGTAAGCATGCTCTCTCCCTCTCTCTCTCCCTCTCTCTCTCCCTCTCTTTCTCCCTCTCCCCCCTCTCTCCCTCTCCCTCTCCTTCTCCTCTCCCCTTACCCCCCCATGTTCCATCTCTTGGGGGCCACTGTTCTGTTCCTATCTTATACTATACTTTCTACTATTATTTTTAGACAACTTGCCATTTCTTGGACCACTTTAACTATCTCATGTATTCTGTTTCGTGTACTCTAGCTGATTTTTTTATTAGTAGTTAAATTCTGTGGTAGTACTGGGGTTTTCAGCTTGTGCCTATCCAGACAAAAGCCAGAAGAACATTTTCATCTTGGAAACAAGTGTCAGAGGCAGCTGAGCTAGGGATATAAAAGAAAGGGATAAAAACAAGTCTTAGAGTTGGTTGTCTTCTCCCCAATCCCTCTCTCAATCCTCTACCCACCCACACTAGTTCCCAGACTGGTGCTTCCAAAATAAAACATCTCAAATCTTCTGTTTATTTCCAGGCTCTTCAAATCACCCAAGATGTCTTTCAGTGATCAGCAGTGCAAGCAACCATGTGTGCCACCTCCATGTCTTCAAAAGACCCAAGAAAAGTGCCAGGCACAAGCTGAAGAAGTGTGTGTCCCCTCGTGTCAGGACCCCTGCCAAGATAAAGGTCCACTCCAAGCTCAGGGGATATGTAATCCTCAGTGCCAGGAGATAAACCAAGGAAGCTGCCCGCAGCAAGGCCAGGACCCATGCCTACCTCCAAGCCAAGACCAGTGCCTGCCTCAGTGTGTGGAGCCATGCCAGGAGCTCGCCCAAACAAAATGTGTAGAGGAGTTCCCACAGAAGATCCAGGAGAAGTGTTCCTCCCAGGGCAAGGGAAAGTAGCGGTTCATATGTCATCTGGAGTCAAGAAGATGACCAACGCGGTCCCCAATCTGGTGACCTTCTCCTGGGGGTATCCCTGTATAATACACCTTCTTGTGTCCTGACTTCTTCAGTATTTCAGGACTCCGTCTGTGCCTCTGAAGGTAGTTCTCTATATGTTATCAACCTCTGTGAATGAGTGCTCCCCTCTGCAGCTGGTGGACAGTCTCTACTACAGGAGTGGTGCAGTTATCCAGGGAGACCACCGAAGCCTAACACAGCTCTCTCGGGGCAAAAGTTCAACTAGCCCTTGGTACATAAGACCAAGGATGCCTTCGTTCATCTTTCAGAGTGCAAGGCTCTCTTTCCAACCTCACAATAACTGCTTCATGCTGGGCATCACCATGACAGCAAGTGTTAAGAAGAGGTCTAGGGTGCCACCAAATCCACAATGATGTAATTTTGTTTCTGCATCCTAACAAAAAAATTGTAATGTGGATATTGTAATGTGGTCTGTGCTGTGTAAACCTGAAACAAAATGTTTTCAAAGATTGAATTCAAACAGCCACCAAGGAAGCATAAGTTGGGATCTTGGTATCCCTACCTGTCTTTGTGCTTCATGGGTGGTCTGCTTTGATCCATTTGGTTTGAGGGGGCTTTGGACTCTGTGAGTGGTCTTTAGTTTGTGCCTCTGTGACAGGAGCTGGCTTGTCCCCAGCTTTTTTGCCTTTCTCTCCTTGGTGAAAGTAAAATATATAATAAAGCTGTTCCTAAGGTTAATCTCTGGCATGATGTGTATCCTTTCCTTACCCCCGCTGTCTCTGTGGCAATGATATTCTCCTTTTGGAAGGGAATCTGGGGAAAGAATGAAAACACATCTCAAAGATGCACAAGACAGCAGCAGAGAGACATCCTCTAGATCAGGTAGACCAGCAGGCTCACAGCCTCTCCAGGTACATCTACATACATACTTCACACATTAGACAACACAGCAAAAAGCTGAGTCCTCCCCATGCTGAAAACCTCAAGCCCACGTTCTCTTTGCTGTAGTCTATTTGGTCCTTGGCCTGGTTTCCAGAGGAAAGGCTAAAATGGAGGGAAGAAAATTGTCTGGAAGAGGTACCCCAAATGAACCAATGGACAACTACAGTTCTCAACGAGAAATAAAGGTGCCTTTGAGATAAACACAAACTTAAGGACCAAAATGTCTGCCCTGCCATTTCAGTAAATCCAGCCTAGGTGACCTGGTTTTGTCCTGGTGCTCCCTCACCTAAGCACAAAAAAATTGCTGTGAGCTTGTGTAAAAAGGCCAGGAGCTGGAATGAAAGAGCCAAAGGATGTTTCTTCATGAGTGCCCTAACCTGGCCTGTGGGGAAGCTCTGCCAAGGCTTGGCCTCAGAGCAGAACAGAAGCTCCTTACCCATCCCCACCTCCTCCCTACTCAGTCTTGAGAGAAGGAGAGGGGCAGCCATGTGGAGTCTATGTTCCAGCTGTTCAATTCAACTGAGAACCTCCTGTCCCATGGCTCATACTGTTCTCTGAAACCTAGAGATTTTCTAAAATTAGACACAAATAGGACAGAATCTGAGGAAACATTTCAAGAGGCCATGTGGTGTCTCATGTCATTGTGTATGGGTGGCCTAGGCCAAGGCCTGAGCCTTGTGAGCATTCTCAACCAGATCCTTACACAGCTTCAGGAAGGTCAGTCACCCTCTGTTAAGGAGTGTGCTTGGCCTTGCACAGGGCCCTAGAATTCAGAATTCTAACCCAGGTCACTCTACTTCTGTACAAAGCCTGACAAAAGTGCATGTGACACTCAAGGGAGATTGGGGGTGGGGGGAACTGTCTTTTTAATGTTCTGTCATCCTCATGAGCAGTGCCCAGGCATTTTCCAAATGCCACACGCTCTGCCAGGTGCTGGAGAGATGTTGAGCCGAGAGCCAGAAGTTGTCTTCCCTGCCAGACAGTCTCACCAACAGCTTTTTCCCAAACTCTACTGGAGCTCTCAAGTTCCTGAACATCCTCAGATGCCACAGTTCTCTTGCCCCTCTGGCTAACTGAGTAGGGTTTTTTTTCACCCATTTTCCACACTGAAAATAATTCCAAGATGAATCTCAAAAGGATCCTCAAAAGACCTATCACTGACTCTTCTAACAGGCTGACAAGTCTCACACTGCATCTCTAGCTTGGATCAAGTACAGCAGAAGTCTTTGTTCGAGAAACTCTGTCTCATGAAGAAGAAGAAGAAGAAGAAGAAGAAGAAGAAGAAGAAGAAGAAGAAGAAGAAGAAGAAGAAGTCTTTGTTCATTAACACTGCAGGCACACATTAGAGTCCAAGATCAGATACCCAGACCTTGAGAGGAAGTGTGGGGCTAATGAGCAGGGGCAGTCCAACCACATCAGATAGAGGAAGAGGCTGGTGATTACAGGGGAGGCCTCAGTGATGAGAAGGGTACCAGGCTGCAGATTTCAGATAGGACAGCCGACGCCAACCAGCTAGCAAAGCCTTCATCTAGCTGTCATGGGAACTTATATACCATCTTGTGCTCACAGAGCTCTGACCCAATCCATGCTCACAAAGCCCAGAGTCCATGAGGATACCTAAGATCAACCATAAGACAGTCAAACTGACCCAGCTGACTGCATGTGGGCTGAGGCCTTTCAGTGGGGGAAGATGCACTACCAAGGAGATTCCTAGTGTTGTGACTCCTAGGTGATAGTCAGTAGTGGACCTGTGGGGGAAATACAGACTAACAGAAGTTTAAGTGGGAGAGAGGTGTTCACTTATTTTTCAAAAGAGCTATGGAGAGTCACATAACCACAATCAATGTGTTGAACCTGGCTCCAAAGAGCCACAGTGGCAAGAAAAAGAAATGTGGGAAAAAGAACAGTGGAAAAACAGCCAATCAGAAACCTGTCACATATTTGGTAGAAAGAAGGGAGAAGGAAGGAAAGAAGGAAGGAAGGAAGGAAGGAAACAGTATAGGAGGCAGGACACTTGTCCTAAAATACTGTAAGTGATTTTAAGAGACAAGAATGAGATTCTTGTAAAGTTGAAAAGCATAAAACTTAGGGCCCACAAGCAGAAGTTATGAACTATGGGCCTATTGTAAAACATTCTTTTATATATATGGATTTTATTTTTTATTTTTATATTTAAATTTAAATTAGAAAAAAGGTTGCTTCACATGTCAATTCCAGGTCCCTCTCCCTTTCCCTCCCCTCCTCCCATGCCCTCCCACCAACCCCTCCAATATCCCCTCATTTCCCCAGGGAGGGTGACGCCCTCCCTGGGGGTGTCCATAGTATATCATTTCATCAAGGGCAGGGCCTAGACCTTCCCCCAAGAGTCCAGGGTGAGAGTGTATCTCTCATTGTTGGATGAGAGCCCAAAGTCCATTTGTACACCCAGGATGAATACTGATCTACTACCCAAGGCTCAATAGATTACCTAGGCCTCCTCATTGACACCCCCATTCAGGGTGTCTTGAACAGTCCCATGCTGGATTCCCAGGTATCAGCCTGGGATTTGAGAGCTAACCCTTGTCAGATCAGCTGTTTCTGGGGGCTAAACCAGCCCAGTCTTAACCCCTTTGGTCATCAGTCCTCCCTCTCTGTCACTGGATTTCTTGAGTTCAGCTCAGTGTTTAGCTGTGGGAGTCTGCCTCTGCTTCCATCAGCCATTGAATGAAGGTTCTGTTTCCCAGACTCTCTGGCCATGGGATTGCAGGCTGGCACTCCCCAGATGTATGTCTAAAATCCATATATGAGAGAGTACATGCCATGTTTCTCCTTTTGTGACTGGGTTACCTCACTCAGGATGGTTTCTTCTAGTGCCATCCATTTGCCTGCAAATTTCAGGATTCCATTGGTTTTTTTTCTGCTGAATAGTGTAAATGTACTCCATTGTGTAAATGTACTGAAAGACCCCTACCCAGGACCCCCTAGGAAAAGAAAAGCAAGGCCAAGCCATTGCCTAATGAAAGAAACCCAGACCAGGTGCCTCGCCCAGCTGGCAGGATGTATTTACTTTCGGTTCTCCGCCGAAAGCGCGCAGCGTGTCTGGTCATGAGTTGCTTAATTGTGTTATTTGTCTTGTTCGTCTACTTGTCTTTGTATTTTGAGTTTTCTGATTCAAGCATGGGACAAACCATAACCACCCCTTTGAGCCTTACTTTAGATCACCGGAATGAAGTGCATATTTGTGCCTCTAACCAGTATAAACTGCACATCTGAGTGGCCAAGCTTTGATGTGGGCTGGCCACGGGATAGGACCTTTAACCTAGAAATTATCTTACAGGTTTAGGATCGGGTCTTTGACAAGGGACCCCATGGACACCTGGACCAGATAGCATACATTGTTATTTGGGAAAATTTGGCTACAGACCCCCAACATGGGCAGCCACATTTTTGACTCTCTGACCTCCTCCGAAGGCAGTCTCAGAGAAAACCGTCGGCTCCTCCCCTCCCCCCTTCTTCACCCTTGGTCCCTGTCTGGGCTCCAGATCATCATCTACCCCCAGATGATGCGGTTCTCATAGAAATCTTACAAGGGGAAAACTACAAGTAACAAGTTTTACAAAGTTAATTTAAATTTGCTAATAGATTTTCATGTTCAGGATAAATAATTTTTCAACCCTGTTGATAAGGTGACTTTCACATTAAGACAGCTGTTGCATGCCAATTTTTTTATGTGTGTGTACAATTGGTTGAGTATCTAATATGCCCCAGGTTCAGTAACTAAACAATTCTTTTTTTAAGTTGGTCCTATGGCTGAGGACTTTGTCCAAGCCTAGCTAGTCACTGGCCCATCTTATCCCTCTGTCTCTGTTCTTGCCTGCCTATACACGTGGTGCAGGTCAGGGGTCTTCTCTTGCTGCCCTAAATACATGGCATGCTGGGCAAAAGTCTCTCCTGCCATGTGCCATGGTATAGAACATACTACAGGAGGGTCTCCTATCCCTGAGCATGCAGTGAGGAAGCTGCTCTGTTCTCCAACTGCTGCTGCAGCCCTCACAGCAGAGCCTGCTCCGTCCTCACCTGCCTGTCTGTGAGGTGTGCAGGATGTGAGGATGGGGGTCTCTCTCTCTCTCTCTCTCTCTCTCTCTCTCTCTCTCTCTCTCTCTCTCTCTCTCTCTCTCTCTCTCTCTCTCTCTCTCTCTTTCTGTCTCTCTGCCCTGCAAACATGGCGTGCTGCCAAAGGAGCCATCTGCCAGCTTTTCCCTCCACCAGAGCTCCCTGCTCAAGCACACAGGGCTGGAGCAGGTAAGCCATTTGGCCAGATCCGGTCTTTCCACAGAAACTAAATGGCCTTAAAGTTATAACTACAAGAAAAAAATGTAAACTATTTACTGTGATGTTTCATTTATACAAATGCTAAATTTTAAAAATTGATCTCTCAAAAATTATATATGCTTGTTTTGTTAAAAAGTTCTATCTGTATTTTCTGTCATAATCTAAGTTTTATTACAAGCATAGAGCTAAAACCAAAGTGGTGCAGGTCACCACCGTTTTACAGTCAGTCACATGCCAAGCTGGCCACATGGCTGGCTGGTAGCAATTTTACTAAAGTTAAAAGAGATACCTGATCCACCATCTTAACTAAAGGTGACCACATGAAAGTTATGAGGTACCATCCTATCAACAAATTTTTATTCAGATTTAAAATGTTAATGCTTTTATACACAGGAATGCTAAGTT